TTCCCTCGAGCATGCTGCTGAACCTCCCGGACATGACTGATCTCCTCCGCACCTGCCCAGAGGCCCTCCGTGAACCGGAAGGCAGGCGCACGGCCGACCATCGCGAGGTGGCTCTGGCTGTGGGAGTCCAGGTCGAAGAGCGTCAGGTTCAAGCCCCTCCCCGCCCAGTCAATCCGAGAGCTGCAGGTGCGCACCCGCGCACCCAGAAGGGCCTCGTGCCGCGCCCTCCGGGAGGGGGAACGGGACCTGGCTCCCCAGGGCTCGCCCCGAGTCTGGTCATGCCTCTAAAGCAGCTGAGGGACCCTGGGATGCCAAAAACGGAGAAAACTGCCCAAGAAGAAGCAGCGAGCAGCACGTCCTCGTGCTCCTCCTCCTCCTCCTCCTCCGCCTCCTCCTCCTCCTCCTTCCTCCTCCTCCTGGTCCTCCTCCTCCTCCTCCTCCTCCTCCTCCTCCTCCTCCTCCTCCTCCTCCTCCTCTACCTCCTCCTCCTCCATCTGCATCCTTCTATGCCTCCATCCGTCCCTCCCTCCCTCCCTCCCTCCCTCCCTCCATCCATCCCTCCCTCCCTCCACCTTCACAGCTCGTCCCCCGCCTCCTGGCCCCTGCCAACAAAACTGTCAAGAAGAAGCAACAAGCAACACCAGAACATGTTTGGGGTCAGCAGCCGCGGGAACCAAGTCGCGCGGCGGTCGGGCAGTCCACGGGGGCACAAAAGCGAACGCAAGTTGAACGCCAAGGGCGAAGCCGGGAAGGAGGCGAAGATGGCGGCCGCGGAGGGGGAAAGAGAGAAAGGCCCCGACTCAGAACTTGGAGCTCCTCGCCAGCGGGCCGGCCTCATCGACAGGTTGCCGCCTCGAATTGCTCGGGTCGCTGGGTTGCCCGAGGGCCTCGACACTCCTCGCGATGGCCCATATTTGGGCGCCCGAGTTATCCGGGGTAACTCGGGTCTGGGGTAACTCGGGTTTCGATTCCCGAAAAAGGAACCCGAGTTAGCCCTGACCCGAGTTACCCCTGATGGTGTGGGGTTCTGGACGCCCGAATTCTCCGGGGTAACTCGGGTCCGGGGTAGGTCGGGTTCGGCTTCCCGAGAAACGAACCCGAGTTGGCCCTGACCCGAGCTGCCCCCGGATGATTCGGGGCTCCTGACCTATGGGCACCCCCACCGTGCCGCCTCCCTCGACGGCCCGTTCGGGCCCTGCCGCGCACGCCGAGGCCGCCCCCCTCTCTCTCACACGGGCCGCAGCCGCCCCGACGCCGCGGCGAGGCGCGGCCTCCCCCCGAGACGCCGTCCGCCCTGCCACGCCGGGGGTGTGCGACGCCGAGGCCTGCCCACCACCACTGCCGGCAGGGAGTCGGTCCCCGGGGCCTCCAGGAAGTTGTGGATACAGTCGAGGCGTTGACCTGAGGAACCCTAAAAGAAGGAACGAGGCCCCTTTTTTTCCATAAGTTAACCTTCGATCTCCGATCGAAAACAGAAGGAACACCTGAGGCAAGCTGTGAAACACTTAAGGGACGCGGAGCCCCTCCCCAACCAAAAGGGTTCCTTCTTCAGGGCCCCGATTGTACGGAAGTGCCCTCGCCCACTCGGGTGGGCGGATATCGGCATCCACGGGGGGAAACCAAAGAGGTACCGATACCGCCACTCCCCGGACCTCTCCCGGGGTGCATTCTGACTCGGATGTCGAAGCGAATCCAGAGGTGGCGACGGGGGCCTCCCAGGAGGCCCCAAAAAGGGAAAACGAGGGATGGGTAGCGGTTCGGTACCTTTCCTCCTCTGATCCACTGGTCCTTTAAGTCCCAGGGCACGATCCCGAGGCGGTGGATACAGCAGGCACATCAAATAAGAGAACGGCTCGCCTGCAGGTGCCTCCCGGAAATGCCTCCCCTCCCCTAGTATGGCCGTGCGGGGCCACAGAAGCCCTAGGAAGGCACCTCAGGAGGCCCCAACCGTGACGGCACACGTGCCCAGAAGCGGTGAGCAGGGGCATCATCTGGCGGTGGGTGCCGGAGCAGGGCGGGCTGCGACAGCTGCGTCTCCAAACTCAGTCGGTGCCCCCGACCCCCCTGGGGTCCAAGCGCACCAGCTTTCCGAGCTGCGTCGCACCGTGGCGGCGAGAGGGCCCCCCGAGGGCCAACTACTACCGCTGTCTCGACTCTCTCCCTCCTCTGAGTGCGGAACCACGCAGAGCACCCAGGAGTCTTGGTCCTTGGCCGACAGGCCCCGCGTGCCCCCGCAACTTGAGGGGCCAAAGACCGTGTGGTGACGGACCGCGTGGTGACCTCGGAATCCCCGACGACCTCACCGCGCGGTCCGTCACCAAATGGTTCGGGGCTCTGAAAGCCCCAGTCGTCCGAGACTCCCTCGGAGCACGACTCGAAGTCCCACAACCGTGTGGTGGCCCCGAACCCCTACCTCTGTGGGGGCCCACGGGCAGCAGCACCTCTTTGCGCCACCCACTCACCGCACGTTGCGGCCACCGATCACCACACGGGCACCTGCTTGGGGGGGGGCCCGAGCAGCGGCCCACCCTCTCACCACGCAGTGTGGCCACGCCAGACCACACCGTTTGGAGGCCCCCGGCAGCGGCACGGCGTGCACGCCCCCCCCCCCCCGCGAGCGCCCCACTCCTCATGGCCAGGCCCGCGGAGGTCCCAGAGCGCCGGAAGCCCAGCCGGATGTCGGCCGTCGCGCCTCCGCGGCGGCGGCGTTCGGCCGCCGCGTCGCTGCCACCGCTCGAGACCGGCAGCCGCTGCACGACGCCGACGCCGACGGCAATGCGGACGGCGGCGGCGGCGGCGACGCCGCCGCACGACGCCGACGGCGCCGACGCCGGAGACATCGACGGCGACGGCCACCGCACGACGGCGACGGCGGTGGCGGCGGCGAGCCGAGGACCACCCTCCCTGCGCCCCAGCGCATCATCCCCTTCCGCTGCCGCTCCGTCCTCCCTCCTCTCATCCAGGTGGCTCCGAGGCGTGGCCATCTCATGCAAGCAGGCCCCTTCCTCTGAGCCCCCAGCCGTCCGCCCGGCGCGGGCGGCGGTGTCTCTCTCGGCATCGCCCCACGCTGCGGATTCGGCCCTCCGCCAGACATAGGCGCCCGCAAGGCTTATGAAGTGGCTACGAGGTTCTGGGTATCAGCGAGAGGCTGCCGATCGTCTACGACCCCAGCTGCCCCCCCCGCCGGCGAGGACTGCTTCCGCTGTCGCTCCCTCCTCCCTTCACTCATTCCTCTCTCCCCCCTTCCTGTCTCTCCTCTCGCGCTGCCGCTGGCCATCCTGGTGGCGTGAAGAAAAGGTGCCGTGCAGGTCCTCCCATGGCAATGCGGCGAACTCATGCGACAACCCCGGGAAGGCCTTCGCCGGGCTCTGGGAAGATGTCCGCCTCTGCCGAGCTGTTCACAGAGACTGAGGGCCCTGGACGAGCCCTACGGTCAGGAGCTTTTGCTCAACGTGTCGCGGCGACGACCCTGGCGACACGCCAACTATGCCTTGCGAGCGGATAGCGTGTCGCTCCACTCCGCGGGGCGGCAGGCTGGGAACGGCTGGGGACGTTGACGCCTCGGGACCGCGGCGTGGATAGCGTGTCGCTCCGACGCGTGATGGAGCCAGAAATGGCAGAGCGACACGCTACCCAAGAGTTCCCGACCGTGGACGAGTCCTGTGTCAACGCCTCCCACCTCCTCTGCCCCCATCCCTTGCCTCACCCCATGCCTCGCGTCACCTCGCCATCCCCCATCCCCTCCCCCCTCCAAGCCTCTGTCCGCCCACCTCTTCCTCCTCTCTCCCCCCCTCCTTTCTCGCGGCGCTTCCTCCCCACCTCACCTCCTTCCCTATTGCTCCCCTTCCCTCCCTCCCTCCCTCCCTCCCTCCATCGCGTTCCTCCCTCCACCCTGCCCTCCTGCCCTCCCTCCCTCCCTCCTATCCCTATGCTCCCCTCGCCTCCTCCCTCCCGGTCCTTCCTCCCTGGGCATCCCTCCGCTCCCGTGCCTCCCTCCCGCCCTGCATCCCTCCCCATCCTCTAGGCCACCGGATCGGACTGCTCCTGGCGCGCGATCGGACCAGAATCACAAGGCAGATCCAGTCGTGGCCACGATGGCTCCCAGGAAGCACTCTACGCTGGAGGCCCTGCAGGTCCTCCTCCTCCTCCTCCTCCTCCTCCTCTTCCTCCACCTCCTCCTCCTCCTCCTCCTCCCTCCTCCTCCCCCTCCTCCTCCTCCTCCTCCTCCTCCTCAATCCTCCTGCTCCTCTTCCTCCTCCTCCGCATCGTCGTCCTTTTCCTTCTCCTCCTCCTCCTCTTCCTCCTCCTCCTCCTCATCTTCCTTCTCCTCCTCCTCCTCCTTCTCCTCCTCCTCCTCCTCCTCCACCTCCTCCTCCTCCTCAATCCTCCCCTCCTCCTCACTCATCATCATCATCCTCCGCCCCTTCCTCCTCCTCCCTCCTCCTCCTCCTCCTCCTCCTCCTCCCCTCCTCCTCCTCATTCCTCCTTCCTCCTTCCTCTTCCTCCTTCCTCCTTCCTCCTCCTCCTCCTCCTCCTCCTCCTCCTCCTCCTCCTCCTCATTCCTCCTTCTTCCTTCCTCCTTCCTCCTTCCTCCTCCTCCTCCTCTCCTCCTCCCTCTCCTCGTCCTCCTCCTCCTCCTCGTCCTCCTCCTCCCATCCTCCCATCCCTCCCATCCCTCCCATCCCTGCCATCCCTGCCATCCCTGCCATCCCTGCCTCCCCCTCGCTCACCCATGGCGCCCTATCCCCCCCCCAAAACGCCCCGAGCACGGTGGCGGCCGGCCTCCTGCGACGCTGATTCGTGCATAGGGACCTCGGCGCACCCCGGCCCCTCCCCCCCCCCACGGGCGGGACCAGGGGCGCGGCGCGCCCGTGCGCGCGCTGAGGGGTCCAAACGCACGCGTCTGGAGAGGGGGAGGGGAGAAGAGCAGACAGGGCCGCGACGGGGTTTCTGAACTCCCGCGTCCCGTCGCACAGATGCCACGATTCCGATGTCGAAGAGCGTACTTGTATCAATGTGCGTCCAGGCTCATCCTGAACGGGATCCCGGCTGATGGGATCTGAGGATCGTGCTGCCTCGCTAACGCATCGTCGACGCATCGCCCACGCTGGCGTGGAGAGAATCGGCCTTCACGTCGCGCCGCATCGCAGATGCGTCGGCGAGCGTGGCGCGGTCCTCCGACCCCCGGACCCCGTCTGGGAGGCCCAGAGGGAGGGCCCGAGGCGATGGGGCACGAGCATGGCGCACACAGGTGCGGGCAAGATCTGCATCGCCCTCCTCCGTGGCAAGGGTGCGCCAGGGTGACCTGTAGCGTGGTCACCGCAAGAGCAGAGGCGATCTGGCGGGCGGCCAGACGCAGCTTGGCCTTGCAGCCGCCGTGGCACACCCATCCACGCGAAGCACCCAGGAGCAAGGAGATCTCAACCAACATCCAAGACGCCTCAAGGAACACGTGCCCAAGGATGAGCAGACGTGCCTTGCCCGTCACACATCCTTCGGCCCGCGGCCCACCGCGAATGAAAGGAAGACGAAAACGTGGCTGAGGATGGCCAAGGATGCTCTGCCCAGCAGACATCCTCAGGGCCGCGCCCAGCAGTGAATGCGAGAGCAAGGAAGACGTGTTCAAGAAGGATGAGCATAGGTGCCTTGCCCGTCGCGGCCCCCCGCGAATGAAAGGACGGCCAAAACGTGGCGGAGGATGGGAAAAGGGTGCCCTGCCCTTGCAGTATCCTCAGGGCCGCGCCCACCCGTGAGTGGGAGGGCAAGGAAGACATGCCCAAGGAAGAGCACAGGTGCCCTGCGCGTCGCGCATCCTTGGGGCCGCGGCCGCCGTGAATGTAAGGACGGCAAAACTGGGCCCGAATGTAAGGACGTGAATGTAAGGACGCCGTGAATGTAAGGACGCCGTGACCTGCCCATCGCGCATCCGTCAGGCGAGGCGCCGTGCCGCGCAAACGCAGGATGCAGCCCACCTCAATGATCCCCTGAGGGGCTGGCCAGCGAAAGTTGCCGGGGATGGGGCCGAAGGGGAAAGGATGCAAGGCTAACCTAGGAAAGTTGCTCATCCTTACTACGCGGGTCGACTGCCTGCCTTGCAAGCGGGTGCTGTGTCGCTCCGCTCCGCGGGACGGGAGGCTGGGAAAAGCTCGGGACGCTGACTCGGGAGCGGCCAAGGGTGGCGTCCAAGAGGGGGGGGGTGTGCAAATCATGGCCGGCGGCACGTGCGTGGCCCAAGGGGGGGCCAAAGACGTAATGAAATAAGAAAAGGCGCCGTGAAATCTGGGGAACTTTCATGGCCCACGCCATGAGATCCCCCCCTAGTCATCACCCCCCTTGTTGCCGCCCCCGACTGATGCTCGGGCCCCAGGAGGCGGTTAGCGTATTGCACCGCGGCGTGGTGAGCCGGAAACCCACGGCGCGATACGCGAACAAGAAGTTGAAGCTCTCGACCGTAGACACACCCTCCTGGGGTCAGGAGGGCCATGGCCGTGCGCAGCGGTGGTGTGCAGATGCCCCCCCCCGCGGACGCGGAGGGCGGGAGCAGACGCAACGACACGCGGGCCCTGGTAGGTCTGCGCTGCACCGCATCGCGAAGCCGGATCGCGCCGAGGGCGGATCGGATCGCCAGCGAGTCGTCCCGAACCGCATCGGTACATCGCATCGCCGCGCCCCGCTTCCGGCTGGCCCTGGCCGACGCCGGTGACTGGAGCCGGCTCGCCTCGAACTGGAACCGGGGCCCCGCGTCGACGCGGATCGCAGGCGGCTGGGCCCGCGGCCCTGCTGCCCGTTCAGGGCGGGGTCGCCGGGCCGGTACGCCTCCCCGGCCTCCACGAGGAGGTCCACGGGCACATTCCCCACCTCGCAGGCCCCCCCGCCTCCGCCCCTCCCTCCGACCCTCTCCGCCGCCTCCGCGCCGCGCTCTCCACCCCCCCACACCTCCCCTCTCCTCGTCCTTCTCTTCCGCTTCCAACCCTCCCTCCCTCCCTCCCTTCCTCCCCCCATCCCTACCCGCCAATCCTTCACCCCCTCACTCCTCGCCCGCCCCCATCTGTTTCTCTCTTTCCTCTTGCTCCTCCTCCTCTTCCTCCTCCTCCTCCTCCGCCTCCTCCTCCTCCTCCTCCTCCTCCTCCTCCCCTCTGCCTCCTCCTCCTCCTCCTCCTCCCTCCTCCTCCTCCTCCTCCTCCTCCTCTTGCCTCTTGCCTGCCTTGGGGGGATGAGTCCATTGAGGTACCCCTCTAGAGAGAGAGAGAGAGAGAGAGAGAGAGGAAAAAAAAAAAAAAAAAAATCCTGGGCCACCTCCATCAACTTTTGTCACCTCAGGAACCAGGGGCGATATCTGGAACCTGAGGCCGCGGCAGGAGGTGGACCCAGGCTTCTGATCATTCAGGCCAAGCCTTAAGATCAGGAGGAAGCTTCCCAGCCATCAGAGCCCTCCCCACCCTCCTCCCATGGTCTGTGAGGCCAGGAACACACGTTGACCCCAACTTCAGCAATTTGCCTCTTGAGGGAACCCCTGATCCTCCACAGAGCTGGCACCAATACACGCCCCTGTAAGCTTCCAGCTTATGGGAGGGTGGATGGGCAGGTCGACCGAAGGAAAGCCTCTCGCTCGCCCCCATCGGACTGAAAACGCACAGTGCAGCGCAAGGAAACTCGCGCCCTGTGCTCCACGACGTGAGACGACTGAGAAACAAGGAGGGCCAGCTGCGATTCCTTTTCCTGACGCAAAACCGCAAAGGAACTCTTAGCCTCCTCCTGGCGGTTGCCCTTAAACGCTGTTCCGTAAAGGGTGGGGGCCTGCTGAACTAGGGACATAGACACCGCCAAGATGGAGTCAAGAACTTTGTGACACAAGTTATCAGATTCGGCTACCTGTCGCCTTGCATGAAACGGGATCTGGGCCATCTCAGCTCCTTTCTCTGCAGCCTTGTCCGCCAGACGATTTGCCTGCCAGTGGACTGGGTCGAAGCCAAGGGTGACTGCATCCTCGAGAGAGAGGTGGGAACGGATCTTGTGCACTGTGATCGGACGATCACCTACAGCGCGCCAGAGGTCCTTCCACATCGAAATTATCTTTTTGTGCCTGAAACGGGGCCCTGCACGATTTCCCCGCACGACACCATCATTATCTATCACGCACTCTATGGGGCCTGTGGTGAGCTGGGCCGCACGAGTGATCGCAAAAAGTTCAGCTGCTGGTACTGTCTGGTTATCACACGGCAGAGGGCCAAGCCCCCACGCTCCGTGCTGGGCACCTCGCAAGATGGCAAACCCCCAGCCGCATCTCCTCAGCCGAGGATCCGAACTCTCCTCACCCCCCGCCCCGTCCGACCCGATCACACACCCCAGATCAAGCTCATAAGGATTAGCTTCGAGCTGGTCCGAGATCTGTTCTTCCCCCTGAATCGGGACACACACACACATGCTGGCACGTCCAGGCCAGGGGAGGCAGACCTCGGAGCCAGAAGGACGGGGCGTCTCCCGACTCAGCTTCCGCCTGCCTCCTCAGGGAGGCGCTGAAACCTGGGATGGGGTCATTCAGAGGACAACTCCAGAGCTGGTGGAGGAGGGTCTCTTGAGGCGCTCCACACCGAGGGCAGGAAGGAGAGGACCAGACTGGGTTGGGCCCAAGGATGGGCTCGTCATCGCATAAGCCACAGTGCAAGTCCTCTTGACATTGAAATTCATCTGCTACGTGCGACGCCTCGTCTAGCATCGCATCGAAATCACATTCCTCCTCGTCTATGCCAAGCGAGGTTCGCGGAGGATCGGAGGGGAGGGGAGCTCCAACCTCAGGACCTGGGGCTGGCTCAGTCGACAGCTCGGGGGCCTGGGGCCTCGGGAAGGGTCTCCTAGCCTCACCCCCAAAACGCCGCGAAGCGGGCCACAGGCCCCCGAAAGAATCATGTCTAAAACTACAGCCTGATCGTAGGCCCCCGAGGCTCTAAGTTTGTTCAACCTCCGAAGCGGCACAAACATATCTGCTCGACCTGCCAAACTGCTGCCATGATAAAATTCGCTGGCTTTTTTCCAGGCTAGAACATCAAACGCCTCCAGCAAGTCAACCGTGAGACGTTCTGGGTCACAGGCGAACACATGGAAAACCTCAACATCCGTTCCAATCCAGGTGGTGGGATCCTGCGGCGTCCAGCCTGCTTCCAGCAGGCAGGCAACAGTGGCGGCCACAAAGCCTGAGACTCGCTTCCAGCGGGTGGCAGGGTCCTGCAGTCGGGCTACCTCTTGTCCCCACGCTTTGTGGAGACCATGCTGGTTAGCCTCCTGCAGGCTCGGGAGCAAGTGAATCCACTCCTTCAAAACTCGCATTCTGGTCGAGATCATGGGGTCATGGTGGGACTCCTGGAAGGTGCAACGCAGAATCGTGGTAGCACACCCCCCTTCTCTCCTCCCCACCATGCCCGCCATGGCCGCTCTGGCCTTTAAGGCCAGGGTCGGACTCACTCCTTGGGCCTCAAGGCCCCAAAGAGCCTGGGCTAACCACCCAGTCCGTGCTAACGTCTTACAGCGACGGTCAGTCTTCACGACTCGTTTAATCATGCTCGCTCGATGGCTGGCTGACTGGAACCGCTGCTTAAGTACTGCTACTGAGCGTCTCGCTCCTACGGTGCCAATGCCAAGGTCCTTACCCGTGGTGCCCCCCTTCAGCGAGAAACCGCGCCGAGCCAAATCTGCGAGGACCTCCTTGGCCAGGGCAGGGTGGTTGGAAAGAACCTGGCTTTTGGCCGAAATCTTGAAACCTGATTTGATTAGGGCAGTGCCTAGGCCACCACTAGCCTCAACAGCCTGTTTCACAATGACCTCAGCCTTGCCTATGTGCCGCTGACTCAGGTCATCCACCCAAGTCTCCAGGGCCAGGGGTCGAAAACGGGCATGGACGTCCTCCAGGATATCCCAGAGAGCGACCTTCGAGATGTCAACGCTCTGGGAGCAGCCCGCCAGGAGACTCCTGGATGGGCACAAAGCCTGGGAGATGGCACCTGATGCGCGAAGGCGTCGCGGGGCCCTGTGCATAACTAAGGCCAGAAACAAGGGCATGAGAGGGTAGTCCACGCCAGCTGCAATGCCCACTACTGAACGCAAATCTACATGGTCATAGAATTTCTCGAGGTCCCAAAGGATCTGGATCCAGCTGAAACCCATCGCCGTTGCGATCTCACACTGGGTCTGCCGAAGTATGGCAGCTCGCAGAGCCGAAGAATCCCTCACCGCCCGATCCCAAAACTGAGCCCGCTCCACCGTCCAGTCCGATATGTCTTGCCGACGCGCTCTGCCCCAGACTCGGTAAAGGCCCTGGGTTAGCGCTATCGGTCGGTCTGCAACTACACTTTTAAAGATAAGCTGGATGATGATGAGCCTGACCTGGGGAGGCCAGGTGAGCTCGGTTTCTACTAGCCTGAGGAGATCTACAAGCTCTTGAAGGGCCTCGGGTGGGAGCTGCAACCAATCACGCGGGTTCTGGAAGTCAGCTCCCTGCCCAACAACAGGTTTGAAACATTTGAGAGCATCAACAACTTGGTGACCGGAGAGAGGTTCCCCCTCCTCCTCCTCCTCCTCCTCCTCCTCCTCCTCCTGCTCCTCCTCCTCCTCCTCCTCCTCCTCCTCCTCCTCCTGGCGCCCGTGGGCTGGCAGTCTGAAACCAACGACTTCCCAGCGGGGTGGGCAACTGCATGGAGGGCACTCTCTTACCCAGTGTCCGGGGGGGAAGTGGCCGCAGGACCTCGACGGCCAGCGCCTCTGAAGCACTCCCCAGCACGCACAATAGCAGCACGTCCAGCACGCGCCGCGGCCCAGTGCAGCGCGGTGTCCCACAGCCTTCTGCTAGGCTCGTACAGTCGGGGCGTTGACCTAAGGAACCCTAAATAAGGAACGAGGCCCTTTTTTCCATAAGTTAACCTTCGACTTCCTGTCGAAAACATAAGGAAAGCCTGAGGCAAGCTGTGAAACACTCAAGGAACGCGGAGCCCCTCCCCAACGAAAAGGGTTCCTCCTTCAGGGCCCCGACTGTAGCGGGCAAGGGCCGAAGGAGGCGGAGCGCGCGCAACAAGCACGCCCAACGCCCAACCCACGAGCCGCTCAGGAATTCCCGCCGTGGCTTCTACCACTACGACCACCGCCACCAGCACTTCTGCCAGGTCACTCGTTGGTCGTGGCCTGCGTTCTCTGGGACGCTGCAAGTCAGGATGCGTGCGATAGCGACGGCGATGATTACTTGGCGTTGATTGCGCATCTCTACAGCAGGGGCTGCATTGGTATATAGAGAAAAGGAAAGCGGCATTAACATGAACTGTCGAAATCTGCGAGGATTTCTTGGAGCGCGCCAGAGGCGGTGTCGTTGGCGCTGACAGGGGGGGCAGCGCCGACCCAAGATATCCACACGGAACTCCTACAGCGCAGCCTTATGCCACTGTTCCTTCGCCGAACACCTCCACGAAAAGGGGGGCGAACTGATTCACGCAAGTGTTCGATGCGTACCCATGTGTCAGAAGAAGCGGGCAGAAACACGAAGAAGGCGCTGAAAGCAGGTTTGCCTTCCGCCCGCCTCCTGACGAGAAGGGAAAAGGAAACACCGCTCGGCTCTTGAAACAGGAAGGCGCTTAGGAGCGGATTGGGACCTGGGGGCCCGAGTGCCCATACGCTCAAGGGCCGACGAGCAGGTCTCCACCCACATCAGCTCGGCCGCGGGGTCGCGCGGCGCGGCAGGTCTTGGAAAAAAATTGCGTCTCATAGAAGTCGCCGGCCTTACATCTGTAGGGGAGGTCCGCGCCTTCTGAGAAGCCAGGGTGCTGGTGCTTCCAAGAAGCCTTCCCCCCTCCCCCCAGAACCGCGATACTGGCACTGGTGCATATGCCTCAGGAGCGCTCTCACGGAAAATCTTAGCTCAGAACCTTGATCCTCAGAGTCACCGCCAAGAGACAAAAGAGGAGGTCAAAACTACAGACTTCCCGAGGGCCCCCCCCCCCCCCCTCTGCGCTCGGCCGACTGCTCCTGCTGCCGCTCCCTCGCCCGCGCCCTCTGCACCGCCCTCGCCCTCTCTCCCTCCTGAACCAAAAACGGACCCCGAACCCTTTTGGAGGGGACCGAAGTTCGGAGGGCCGAAAACATTAAGGATAGGGTCGCTCTTCTGCAGATGTACCGAACCGAATCGTCCAGATGGTTTCTGACCCCTCATGCAAAAGACGGGGACCTCAGTGATGCCACGTCTTCATCGCGTTATTAGGCTGAGGGGCTCTTTTGTTCTCGATGACCTCCCGCTCCGCCCTGCTGCTGCCCCTTGAACAGGGACCGACCGTCCAGGCATTCATGTAGTCATACCACGAAATCTTCTTAGAACCCAAACATGTTCTAAGAAGAAAAACATTGCTCCTAGAACATCAGCCCGATGTGTTGAAAAAAGATAGTCCCAGCCAAAAATGCTCTAAGAACATTCCGTGGGAACCACAAAAGGTTTTTAGAACATTGCTTGCTAGGGCCACAGGAGAGCCAGGACGCTCCGCTACTGCTCGATGCCCCGCTCCCCTCCGCCGCCTCTCTGCCTCCCCCCCCGGCCCCCGGGCGGCTCAAGCACGGGGCCCCGAGGGGTGGCCAGCCGCGGGGCCGCCGCGGCGGGGGTGGGCCCACCCGAGCGCGCATACCCCGGACCCCCCCCTTGGACCCCGACGCGTCGAAGGCTCCCCCCCGCCGACGCGGCCCTCGGCGCGGCCAACGAGACCCACGACTCGCGGGTCGCGTTCGGTTGGGCCCCCGCCCCCAGCGCGCCCCCGGGGCCAGCCACGCGCGCCCAGCCCGGCCCAACCCGAAGCCGGGGCAAGCGAGAGGCCCGGGGGACGGGAGAAGGGCCCAGGCCGGAGGCGCACCTCGGTGGCAGCTCGTGGGGGGCTGCCCGCAGATGTCGTGCTGGCTCCTGCGAGCATCGGTGCTGCGCGCCGCCAAGCGGCGCTGCATCATCGATTCCCGAACGCGAGCGCACGCGAGCGCACTCTCAAGACGGCATTCCGAGGACGTGCGGTCGGACCTGGGGCAGACGAACCTCCTTCAAGATCATGAGACCCTCCGCCCGCCAAACGGAAGGACAGCCGAAGGTACCCTCCCCCAGGATTCATAAGAGCATCCAACAAGCTTTTTTACGTCGGCGGCGAGGCAGAGGCAGTCCGCTCGAGCGTGTGGCTTTCTGGACAATCGAGAGGCGAATTGCCTGGCGTGCAAGAGGGAGGAAGAAGACGAGGGCGGCCGCGCGGGGGAAGGCGGAGAGGAAAGCGCTCAGACGCGGAAGAGTTCCGCGCAGAGCAGGCCGGGGCGGCCAGCCGAGCCGGGAAGGCGGAGCAGACAGCGGGTGGCGTGGCAGCCGCCGGGGCCACGGCCAGGGCGCACCCACGCGAGCATCTCCCCAACACGAAGAACACCAGGGCGCCCTCCCCGAACCGACCTCGCTCTTCTACCTGGTTCCGACTGTACACGCTTCAAGGCCCCCCGTCCTCGGGGTGCCCCGTCCCCCGAGCCACCCAGCTTCGCGCAGGGGCCCGCGCTTCTATTCGGGCCCTCGCGTCCCCCGCGCCGCCATCCTGGAGAAAGGCCTCCACGCTGTGAGGCGAAGCCAGGACGAGGCCAAACTCGGGTGAGGAGAAATCGAGAATCTCTGCGGTCCGGCGGCTCTGGAGGATGTCTCGGACGCCGCGGCCTTCTCAGAGCCTTCTGGAGCGCTGTGGGGGCGTTCCGGAACGCTCGTGAACGGAGTCGTCTTCATCCTAGCCTTAGGTCGGGCCTGTCCCCCTACAGGGGAATTTTGGACGAAAAATTAAAAATACTCCAGAAATACTCCAAATGGTCAACAAATACTCAAAAAGAAAGTCCCCTGACTATGTTTTGACTATTTTGAATTTTCCCCCTGTAGAGGGGCAGGCCCGACTGAATCCTAGCCCCGCCCGGCGCTCGCCCGGACCGCGACGCGACGCGCGAGGCGCGATCGTCTTCGCGCCCCGCGGGGAAGCCCAGGTCAGACTCGCACGGTTTGAGGCGCCCCCCCGTGCCTCGGGGCACCGCCAAGGAGTTCGGTGGCCTGGGGGACGTGGCCCTCACGGGCGAGGCGGAGGATCGGCGGTCCAGGCCTGGGGCCCTGAGGCATTCGAGGAAGCGGGAACTTCCGAGCATCACAGGCCCCTCCGTTCCTCCCCGGAGGGAGGTCGGCGGCCGCACGCCCCTCGAGAGCGCGGGCGCGTGCCGCGGCCCAGGGCGGCGCCTGCGCGACGTAGAGGTAGCGTATGTTGGGCGACGCGTCCGTGTCGGGGCCTCTGCCTGGCCGCCACGAGTGAGCTCCTCGTCGTCCCTGCTCCTCTGCCTCGCTCCCCCTCCTCCTCCTCCTCCCCCTCCTCCCCCTCCTCCCCCTCCTCCCCCTCCTCCTCCTCCTCCTCCTCCTCCTCCTCCTCCTCATCATCATCATCATCATCATCATCATCAGCATCCACATCAGTCTCTAAGGGACTCTTTCCTCCTCCTCCTCCTCCTCCTCCTCCTCCTCCTCTTCCTCCTCCTGTTCGTCCCTCTCCCGACGTCCCCTGCGGCCGAGCACCTAAGTTTCCATGCTGCCACCACTGACCCTCGTGGAAATGAAGCCCGACAGACGTCAAGGGTGTTTTTCCTGCCCATCAGAGCCCCGCCATCGACAGGGAAGGAATTGTATGCTGGAGGTTCAGTGCTTGCTAGAGCCCAGGATACGTTCAAGCACCTGGAAGCCTTGAAATGTCAAGAGTCAAAGCCCATCGGGCTTCAAGAAGCTCTGGCCGAGGGCACGCACGAACGGCACACTGCCGAAGGCAACGACTGGGCGGACATGGTAGCGAAGGCTGCTGCGGCCACAGTTTAACGGGCGAAGAACGGTATAACATAAACTTCTTCGCTGTCGGGGGCACCTGTCCCTGGGCGGCTGACAAATTTATACCCTCACGGTGGCACCGTAGGGGTATAAACTTTCCAGCCGCCAAAGGGACAGGCGCCCCCGACAGCGAAAAAAATTATGTTATACCGTTCTTCGCTCGCTGAACAGTCCCAGGCCCCTCGGTCCAGCAAACAAGGAAGTATAGAGCAAGTCCGAGCTGTGTGCAACGGTATCGCAGATCAGATCTGCACCCGAGGCCCATCGCCCTGGCCCCCCGCAGTGCAACGGAGACTGGGACGAAGGCGTTCGAGAGGCCGGTCGACAGCCGCAGCCCCCCGCCCGTCTCTTCTACACCCGGACGAGTGCAGAGCGATTCTGCCGATGCTGCGCTCGTCCTCGTACAGTCGAGGCGTTGACCTCAGGAACCCTAAATAAGGAACGAGGCCCCTATTTTCCATAAGTTGAACTTCGATTTCGTATCGGAAACCTAAGCAAAACCTAAGGCAAGCTGCGAAACAATCAAGGAACACGGAGCCCCTCCCCAACGAAAAGGGTTCCTTCTTCAGGGCCCCGACTGTATGGTCTCCCATGCGGTCTTCCGTATGTAGGGGGGGAGACAAACCGACCTCGCTTTTGACCACCCTCGCTTCCAAGAGATGCCAAACGATCCCACGTGGCAGCCTGTACTGGTCAGGCCGCTTGACGAGGCGGCGCCTGGTATGGCTTGGTTTTGCCTGGAAGCGAAAGCGGGGTAGGTAATTCACGCCCTGGGTATGGTTCCCCGTGCGGTCTCCCACACGGCCTCCCGAGCCGTGTCCCAAAGGGCCTCCCGAATGGTCTCCCGCATGGTCTGCCGGGCCGTCGCCCGAATGGTCTTCCAGACGAGTTCCCTGCACGCGATCGGGACTCTCAGAGGGGTGCAACGCCTGGTGCCCCAAGTGGTCTTCCGTGCGGTCTCCCGCACGGCCTTGCGCAGGGTCTCCCGCAGAGGGCCCCCCGCAGGGTCTCTCGTACATGGTCTTCCGCATGCTATCCACGGTGGCCGATTGCAGAGTCTCCCATATGTGGCTTCCTGTTCTTTACATGGCACATGGTCACCCATGCGGTCTCCTGCGTGGGCAACCCGTATGGTTTCTGGCATGGTCTCCTACATGGTTGCCCGGATGGTCTCCCGCACGGTCTCTCGTATGGTCGTGTTTGCTATATCGCTGTGTACATAAAGTGTTCACTATCGGTTGTACTCTCAATGGGTGCCTTCTTCAGGTATCGGAAGCGCTCCTTAGGGCATGCTGCCCCGAAGGGTGTAAGACGCCGATGTTTCCAACATGACACCCCCGCGTCAGAGCATCCGCAACGACATGCTACGCATAACGAAAGCAATGCACCGTGCTGCACGTGCAAGAGACCGTACGGAAAACCATGCGGGAAGCCGTACGGAATGCAATGCGGGAGACCAAACGGAAGACCAAACGGGAGACAAGACGGGATAACAGGCGGGAAGCCGTACGTGAGACCACGGGCCAGGGCGCGTGTGCTGAAAGACAGGTAACCTTGACATGCAAGCTGCCCAGGAGAACAGAGGCTGAGGTGGCTGAACCAGGCTTTTCCGATATCGATGACATGGTGGCGAAGATGTTCCAGACTCAGCTCCAGAGACGGAGCGGTACATTGGCTTGCCAGCAGCTCGGTTGTTGCTTGCCCTTCGTGTTTGGATTACGCTTTGGACGATGCACTTCTGAAACAATCCTCAAGCCATGATCGGGTGCGCAGCGTGCGCATCCCAGCGCAAGTGGCTCCCATGTACTGCTGCGACTGCACGGAGGCTCAGAAACATGGGAAACACCGAAGCCTGAAACCGGTCCCCTCCCTGGAGGGACAGAAAGATACACATACCGCTGCTCCCCCGACCTCTCCCGAGGTGCGTTCTGGCCTGGAATCCGCGACGGGTCCGCCCGTGGCGAACACGAGGACCCCCCCCGAAGGCCCCAAAGAAGCGGAAACCAGGAAAGAGGCCTAGTGGCTTTCGAGCCGTAACACGGACCCCCAGCGGCCGTCCAGGACGATCCGGGCACCCCTGGAATTCCCTCGGCGAGGCGCAGCTTCTGGAGAGCACCCCGAGGCCGTAAAACTGCAGATGACCTACGAAAACGTCAGGAATGATGGGCAACTTTTCCACCACCACTACCGTAGGTAGGACGCGGGAGAAGGGAGGACGGGGAGGTCCTCCTCATCCTCCTCCTCCTCCTCCTCCTCCTCCTCCTCCTCCTCCTCCTCCTCCTCCTCCTCCTCCTCCTCCTCCTCCTCCTCCTCCTCCTCCTCCTCCTCCTCCTCCTCCTCCTATGGTAGCGGCTGAGGAGCATGGGCCCATCAAGGAAACCTCGAGCCTCGAGGGCCGCGGCGTCGATCTCGATTTCTCGGACCCCCGAAGAGCAGCCAGGCTGGGCACGAGAGCCACCGCACCCAGGGCGGAGCTGGCCCAGGAGCGGCAGCGGCAGCGCCGCGAGGCCTGCAGCCCCACCAGCTCGCCCCATCAGGCGGTGCTCCACGAGGGGGGAAACAAGTTGGACGCCCCTCCTCCTCCTCCTCCTCCTCCTCCTCCTCCTCCTCTTCCTCCTCCTCCTCCTCCTCCTCCTCCTCCTCCTCCCGAAATGGGATGCGATGCCCAGCACCACATGTGGTCCTAAACCGACAGCGGCCGCTGTTGGGCAGGCTGCCTTCGGTCTCGAATAGACAGCGTCCTCGGCGACGGCGGCAGCGAACCCTGCTCATCATGGACAGGAACTGTTGTCGGTCTGTATGCCCACTCCGATCGCGCCGACTAAACAGGGGCGGGGGGGAAGAAAAGGTGCGCCCTTCGTGCAACTGCAGGGCCCCAGGGGGCCTTCGTAGGGTCCCTTTCTTGCAGCCCTCGATCGCCCCCCCTGGGGCGGTCGGGGACTTTTGCTTCGCGTGCCGCGGCGGCGGCCCCGGCGACGGGCTGTGCCTTGCGAGCGGATGTCGTGTCGCTCCGCTCTGCGGGGCGGGAAGCTAGGGACTGGGAAGTTGTGAGCGTGTCGCGTCGAAGCGCGTTGGGCCAGAACGGGCAGCGCGAAACGCTGAGCCAAGGTTCCTGACCGCACCGCCCCTCATGGCGCAACGCCAGATACCCCCCCCGGGCAGACAGCGCTGGCAGCAGGACGAGGCGTGACCCTCCCAGGAATCATGAAGAGAAGGCTGAAGGGGCCCCAGGACACACAAACAAAAACATCCCCCATATCTTTCCATATTTTCTGGGGTTTTGTCTTCCCCCCCACTGCCCATATTTTCCCATAATGAATTGTGTCTGTGTGTTTTTCCCCTCCTGAAAGGAAGCGGGCGGGGGGCGCCATCCTGCCAGGTTGTTGGAGGCCAGGCTGGTGAATTCGAGGTCAACGACGCCGGCATCCTCCACGAAGGGATAACGGGCGGACAGGCGCTCACACAGACGCGCAGGGGCAGCGTTGGCGCCTCATCGCCTCAGTGGTCGCCGCAGCCCCCGACTGTGTCGGCCCATCTCTTTCGCGGGTGTTCTGCGCCTCTCTACAGTCGGGGCGTTGACCTAAGGAACGATAAATAAGGAACGAGGCCCCTTTTTTCCCATAAGTTAAACTTCGATTTCCCATCGAAGCCCTAAGCAAAACCACAGGCGAACTACAAAACAACTAAGTAACACCGAGCCCCTCCCCAACGAAAAGGGTTCCTTCCTCAGCGCCCCGACTGTAGTGCAGCCGAATGGTTCCCAGTGGACTGCCGACTGCGCCCAGCTCTGACTTTCCATGCCCCTCCGTCTTGCACACTGCGCGGTTGCCTTGCGGTGTTCCGTAGCCCAGTCTGTTGCCCGCTGCAGGGATGCCCAATCGTGCGGGGGGGGAAGGTGAACGTGCTCTCGGTTTGCCTGGCGGAGGCAGGCGGGGCGGACCGGCCGCTGTCCGCCCTGAGCCGCCCTCTGCAGCCAGACCGACTCGCACCACCCTGAGAACAGACGTTGCGCGAACAAAAAAAAAAACACGCCACGTCACGAAGCGTCCGGCCGTGTAGCTCTGGGAGCGTCTCGCACCCAAGATGAGGCAGCCACACACACACACACACACACACACACACACACACACACACGTATAGCGCTGCACATGCATAACAAAAACAGCCCATCCACACCTTCAAGCACAACGTGTGGCTGGTGATGAACTGCCAATGCTCCTGATGGAGAATATTCCATGGAAGCTCTTGCCTCACCGCAGTGCCCCTCCAGCAACGGGAACCCCTCCGACGACAAAAACTTGCGCACAGAATAGGTCCACCTTGTCCTGGGTCTGCCTCGGCTTCTTGGGCCGTCAGGTGTCCATCGCATGACAACTGCCGACAACGAGCTCAGAACGCACCAGGCAAAATCTACTAGTTTGGTCCATTCAGAACAGCGAACACTTCGTTTTGCGCTTGAAGCGCCTATCTGAACCATCCCAAGTCTCATGTGGCAACTGCGACGATCTGACCACTCCACTAAGCATCTCGTTCCTACAGGCAGCCAACCGCGAGCGATGTCTGGTGGCCACGCCCAGAGAAGCCGCCCCGTGCACAACTGTAGGAGTGGTCACATTTTCGAACAACTTCAACCGAAGGCGCAGTTATATGCTAGTATTGGTGTGCGCTTGCTTGTTCGGGTGGAAGTGACCCCACGCGAACTCCAGTCTCTAGGCGAGGTGAGTCAGCGCGGCCAGTCAGATTGCCACCGAGTTTCTGGCCGCGGCACTAGTGGAACCCACGGCACGTCATGACAGGTAAAGGCACAACGCCACACGACACCGCCATTGGAATTTCAAGCATGGGATGCATCCGGACTGTTCGTGACAGTCCTCGTCTTGCCCGCGACATCGTAAACATCGCCACAGCGTCAACAACAAACAGCGCGGGGCCCAAAACCCAAATTTATGACGCCTTCTTCGAGCCGAATCGATCTGTGCTGCTTCCGGGGCCGGGCGAGGACGCCCGGAGGGAAGAGACTGCCACGCCCACAGACCTCTCGGGGCAGCGTCCGCACGCCCGGGGCGAGCAGAGGCCGCCACGCCGCGCTGCAAATCGTGCCCCCGCGCATGCGAGC